GCACACGCTGACCCGGAGAGCCACCGAGTCCTAGTCCGACTCCGACTGTTGGCAGGGGTAGATAACAGAGCACAAAGAGGAAAACACGGAGTAGGAAGTATATGGAACCTAAATTCGATCGGTTCGGTAGAATTCGGCTGTCACTGGGTGCGGAGATGTTGGTGGTGGTGGAGGAGGAGGAAGAGGAGGTAACTGCTATGGGCACTGGTCCCCCTAACGTGAAGTGAAACTTGAAACGCTTTTTGCGACGTATCCCCACACCCGAAATGACCTCAGTCGCCGTAGCCGCCGGTGTTTGAGCGGAATCTGCACTAGTCAAGTAGGAGTTCTCGACAAAATTTCGTGAACTGTTGCTGTTCTTCTTCTTGGATGGAATGGAGGAGTAAGGCATGAGGCAGATTTGTGGAGTTTTTGTGATTGTCTCTGAGTTGCGGTCTGTGAAGAGTTGGAATGAGGAGGGAGAATCGACAGCTCCCTGCCATATGGAACATTGTAACCGCAACTTTCTAATTTCAAATAGAATCTCCACATAGGTCTGCTTACAGAAGAGGAAACCAAGAAGAACAACGCCTTTGGCAACACAAACGCACTTTAGCACTTCAAATTCTGGCGGAAGGAAGGGGGCACTACTATTGGCGGTCCACCTATCCAGAGAAGTGCATATGTTTACCTGATGGGTACAAGGATCGGCTCCCCTGCTGGGTTTACACGACGTCAGTACATGTAGGTAACGATAAAGCCGGAGGACTTGTACCTGTGGCTCCTTCAGAGAACACATAGAACGCACCACGTATCCGCTGGGTGGATGCTTGCTCGATGTTGAATAGCCAGGAGACGGCAGCTCCCGATAAGTGGTCACTGCTACATCCGAGCCTAGGCCAAAATAAGAGAAAAACAAATGTGTGATTTTGGGCTGTTTCGTAGGGTGTGCACTTGTCGTCTCCTAAGTCCTGGGCCGACGTCGAAGAGTTGCGCTTCCCGACATGGGGCAGTTGAGTGAGCGTGTTGTCAGTAGAAAATGGGGGAGGGAAACAGGGTCCAAATGCGTGTGAGCATATTTAGGGGTGACTGCAGG